GGGGGGGGGGGGGGGGGGGGGCATAAGAATTTAAAAAAAAAAAAAAATTAAATAAATGGAGATATCCCATCTCCTAGAACTGGAAGGGACCTTGAAAGGTCATCGAGTCCAGCCCCCTGCCTTCACTAGCAGGACCAAGTACTGATTTTGCCCCAGATCCCTATGAGGGTCTGAATTGCATTAGCGTAGTCCTCTTTCAAGCAGGACTATGTTAACGCAAACCAGGTACCTTTTAGTTTGCGCCAGCAGTGTCCATACCAGGCAGTTAGATTGCAACTCTTCAGTGTGCCCTGCGATTCACACACTCATCGGCACAGTGTAGACCTAGTCTGCAACTCACAAGGGCTGGGTTCAATTCCCACCTCTGCCATAGACTCGCTGGTTGTGTCATTGAGTCTCTTTGCCTTAATTCCCTATACGTAAAACAAGGGCAGTTACCGATGCTTTCTCCATCTTGTCTATTTACTCTGTAAGGCCTTCAGCGGGGCAGCTGTCTCTTAATCTGTGTATATACAGTGCCTGGTGGAGTGGGGCCCTCATTGTGAGTGGGGCTTTTAGGCATCTTGAAGAAGCAGTGTATTGAAAGGGAAGCCGTCAGCCTCTCAGAAGCTGCACCATCTTGTCTACACAAAAAGCCCCAGGGAACTAACTAAAAATCAGAACTAATGTGTGGTCGTTCTTCTTTTCAGCACGGAAACAAGAACACCCGCAATTGATGGAATAATGTGTTAAGAGGTTTGGTTGCCTGATTGATTTCCAGAGCTAATAAATCCTTGGCTATGCTCATTGTATTCAAATATATGCTCAAGCGAGATGCATGATCTGCTCTTAGGAAAGAGAGAGAATGCTGGGAGGGGGAAAAGTTCTACCCAGATTAAATGCTTTACATTTGGCAGCTCTAATTGTTTTATTAATAAGCCTTTTATAGGGGTATGTTATTTATTATTTCTAATTACCGGACTTCAAAAAAAAATGTCATTCAAATATTGGCCATTGTCTTCTGGGTCAAGTGCCAGTTCTAAAACTCTTGCTCATGTGAGTATCTTTACTCCATGGACAGTCCCACTGAGGGGTGTCTCACTTAGGGGCAATGTTCTCCCTTGGACAGAGAGCCGGTGCAAGGTTTATGCACCATTTAGTCCCTCATAAGCCCCTAGGTAGAACTTATACTGGCCCTTCGTACAGGGGTGAGTGTTATCCTAGGGTCAGTGGTTCACAACTCACGGGCCAAGAACTCATGCCCTAAGTTGGGATCTCAGGGGGTTTTTGTTGTTGGAAGTGGATGGCGGGGGGGACCTCACTTTCAGTTCTGCCAGTAGCCTCAGAGGGGAAATATCCTTATCAGGTGAAAGTCTCAGCAGGAATCCTACATCATTTGAATTAAAGGTGACCTGCAAAGGAGAATATAATGTAGGTGTTTGGGCCAGTGCCCCTCTTGACTTCTTCAGGATGGATAGAGAAGGCTGTTGTTGGTTGGTTTTCTCCTCCCCACCCCCGTGCTTGTTTTTTATACACCTCTACCTCGATATAACTCGACCCGATATAACATGAATTCTGATATAACGTGGTAAAGCAGCACGTCGGGGGGGGGGGGGGGCTGCGTGGTCCGGCGGATCAAAGCAAGTTCGATATAGCGCGATTTCACCTATAACGCAGTAAGATTTTTTTGGCTCCCGAGGACAGCGTTATATCGGGGTAGAGGTGTATTAGGAATTCAGGACTTGTCTACCCTGGAAGTCTCTTTATATACCTGAAATGATGATATCACAGGGGAAGGAAACGTGAGCGTTTGAGAATGGAAGGGATGTTTAGCCAAACTGTTTAAAACTCTTGGGTTTTGACTGTTTGTTAAGACATCTTTATCTTCAGTGACTAACTAACTAACTGGATAAAGTACACAACTGTTAGAGTCACTGACATGCTGTCAACTAGGCATTGAGAGTTCACAATCATCATTTATCATAAAGAAAAGGCCCCGTTTTTTAATAATACTTCCTTCAAAGGGATCAGCGTCAGGCAGAGGATGCTCTGAGGAGCTGAGACGCTATTGCGAACATGTACCCTGAAAGGCATTAATTCTCAGCAGCGTTGAAGGATCAAAACTGACTTTTCAAGAAAAATGGGATAGTGATATCGAAGGGAGATATAACAGGGGAAATAGTTCCTGACTAGAACTGGTCAAATTTGTGTTTTATTCTCTCCAAAATAATGAACTTTTTTTTTCTTTTTTTCTTCAGATTGACAGTTTTCCCTGGAGTTGGGGGAATTTGGTCAATACACCCAGAACCAATTTTGGTTGTTGAAAACTAAAAAAATCAGTTTCCAGGGTTTGTGGGAGTTTTTAAATAAAAACCGAAACACATTGAGAGACACAAATTATCTCATGAAAATGAATATGTAGTGAAAAATCGATGTTTTGCTGGGGAGGGGGAGGGAAATGGGACTGATGAAAAGTCTTCCAGCATCTGTCGTCCTGATATAGAACAGGAAGGTCAACTTGCATCATCCATTAGTAATGTCTGAGAAGATTGTTTCAAACTTTCATTCCAATGGTATCTCACTTGTTTAACAGAAGAAAATATCCAGTTTAGGCAGTGACCTTTACTGGGGAGATTGTAGGGAGCAGGGAAAGTCCTGGCGGACCTGCCCACATTTTCAAAACATGGGAACTGGTGAAGCTCATGGCAGAATGTACTGTACCTAGTGACTCCTTGTCTGTTTGTGAGACTGCGAATAGGAATTGATTTATTAATGTTACACAACTGAATTTCTCAACTCCTGGTTGCATCTAGAAGCTTAATAGGTTACTTGTTGGAAACAGACTTTCAGCCCGGTGTAGTGGCATGGTATACTAAAGCATGGGACATATTTCTAATGGAAACATTGATACCCCTGATTTGAACACAGAGGGATCAAACTTGTAAATTTGGCTTCCTTTTAATTTTATTTTTCTTTTAAGACTGAGAACAGTCATCAGTGGCAAAACCAAAAGATCAGTGATACTTTTCTGAGCTCTTCTGTCTCAGATTTGGAGTATAGCATCTCAGTAGAATGAGGCTGATGGAGACGTTATCTCAGAATACAATGCTAAGAACTCCTCCACCTGACTCATGTCAAATTCAGAATTTCCCCCGGGCCTGTAAAGCAAGAGTTTGTGTGTTTAGACAGGCCATTGGGGGTGCTGTTGTACTTGGTTGACAACAAGTGGTTCGAAAGATTCATCGTGTCAGTTGTATGTTTTTTTCCAGTCTCTGTAAGTTAAATGTTTATCACCAGGGTGACCAATATGATGTTCTCCAGCAACATAACCATTTGATCCACGTTTAAATGGGTATAAGGTATGGGAAAAGGCACGTGTGCCTCTAGAGTAATGATCCTAAGGTATGGATCTGAAATGAAATCCTAGATGAAAGCAGCAATTAACCAAATAAGTCACCCTGACTTTAACTACCATGCTTTATTCCACAAACAAGTTCATTCTTGCATACAGGTTATTCAAGAAAATAGTACATGCCTGGAAATCTTTTAATTCTGCAATGACCCTTGTACTGAATAACACCCACCATACTTAACTGCTTCTAAGATCCTCCCAGGGTACATTGAGGCACTAGAGCACTTCCCTGTTTCTCAAGATGTCTCCATATTTCTGTTGTTTTCTTAAGACAACTCACTGGAAAACATTGCAGATACTGCACACCAGCTCTTAACACATGAAGGCCAAGAGGTCTCATTTCTAAGCACACGTTAAAATGTTTGCATCTCTAGCACTAAAATCCGTGAGCCAAATGCTGGAGCCCTTCTTATGAATGGCAAAACTTCCTTTGATCAGGACTTGGCTCTCTGGAAGCCATACTAAAGAGAAAATATATCTAGCCTTTGGAGACTAGATCTCCTAGTCTATCCCTTCTACCAAATGCAAGACTGTTCCCTCTAGCATCTTCTCTGGTACTGTGTCCAGTCCAGTTTTAAGTGGTTCAACCCAACAGGCCTTCCACCACGTCCCTAGGAAGACAATTCTAAAACCTCCGACTCCTTTCTTATTAGGAAATGTTTATATTTGATTATCCTTAGCATAATTCCCCCTTTCTTTCTTATTTGAAGTCTATCCAAAGGTCTGCCTGGCTGTCTAATTACTGGGTACATGCATCCCTTCTAGTTATACTTACTCATCTCATTCTGATGGAAATTGTTCAGAGTTTTGGGGCATCTATTTTCATTTCATTAAATGGGATGTTTATTTGTCCAACCCGCTGGGTCCCAGGAGAAGAAAAATAAGACCCACTAGTGAGCTTGAAAGCCAAACAGCCAATAATAGAGTGAATTTTCTTTACCTTTCTGTCTTACATCGGGCATGTGCAGCCTTGGGTGGACATTTTAATGCTGATTTGAAACTTCACAAACAGCGTGTGTCTTGCCTTCTGCAGAGTGGGTTCCCTGCCTCTGGCCCGGCATCAAATGCTCCTTTGTTCAGACCTGAGGACGAGCTGGAACATCTGACCAAGAAGATGCTGTACGACATGGAGAATCCGCCCTCTGATGACTACTTCGGTAAGTGCCGCATCACGCTGAATAAATCTACCCAGGGCCTTTTGATCTATTTACCACGCTCTGTAATGGGGAGACTTGACAGCCGCACTGCTAATGCGATGGCATTAGTAATGATGGATTGGTTTGGTATGCTGGGGCATGTCGTGTAATTGTTCATAGGGATCCCTCTGTAATTTCAACAGAAATCTGATGCTCGCTAACTGTGTTTTTAAACTCTCACCAGTGATTAAGTTCCATGTTTCAGTGCCTGGTTCTGTTTGACACCATCAGTCTGCAACCTCTCTAGCTACTGGGTCAAATTCAGCCTTGGTGTAAGTTGGTGCAATATCATAGGGCCTGATTCTGATTTCACTTAACGTTGGTGTAACCAAAAGCAATTCCACTTGGCCCAATGGACTTCAGTGGAAATATACCAGCGTTGATTATCGCTTCTTATAACCATGTCATCTTGTTTGTCTGAAAGAGACGAGCCATTGATTCCCTTTTTAAAGGTGTTTAATTGTGGTATCTCATGCCTCTGTATAAAAGACAAGTTAGTGTGAGCTTTGGATTATGTGGTGAAGTCAAGCAACTCAGTCAGACTTGCGAGTTCCCACTATCTGCACTTCAATTTCTCATAAGCTTGGCTGATAGATCTGTCAGGGAAACACAGTGGTATGAAATGGAGCTTGAGTTTTGCTCGGCACTTATAGTTGTGAAGCTGAAATATTTATGTCTTGCAGGCTAATGCTGCATCACTAGATGACTTGACTCCTTTCAGAGTATGATTTTTGACAGAGGGCTGTGTAGCTCAGGGGAGAGGGATATAAAGCCCTTCAACTTTAGGTCATGGGTAAGACCATCGATTGGAAACAGCTGCCGTTTGCCACCCAGTGGCTGTTTAGCTTACATGAAATGAAATGCAATGAAATGAGTGCGTGAACTGGCTCCAGCACCCAATATAGGTGCCCAAATCACCAAACCAGTCAAAAATTGCCAGCCGAGTTATCCTCAGCAATAAAGTCAAAGACTGAATGGCCGTGGAGCAAGGTAGGAGACCAGCAACCTGCAAAAATGCAAGTCTTAGCTCAGGCAGATGACATGTCATTACATGCTGGGCACTGAACAATCTAGGATCACACTTAATTCTCAGGTCGCCGGGATTGAGTAGAGAATCCAACCTGAGGCCTCCAGTCTCCATTTTCTTTTAAACATCATTTACCAGCAGGAGAGAGATGATTAGCACGTGTCCTGTTGTTTTGTAGAATTCCTCCTCAGTTCTGCTCAGCCACTTATGCTCCATACAGCACTTTGGGGAAACTATCCATGGCTAATTGTGCATCTGTCAAAAAAAAAAGTGGGGGTTGGAGGGGAACCCAGCCTGGAACACAACCATATGGGATGATAAAACCAGATACCCAGACAGTCCTTGAACAAGTCACTTAAAAAAAAAATCCAAACTTGCATCCAGGTTGAGCTGCGCTTTCATGTACAAAAGCGGCATTTTGACATGGCAGTGCAGGGAGCTCGCATTACTGCTGCTTGTGCTGTATCCGTTCTGTGGATAAATACAGAAAGCCACCCTCCAGGGCTGTCAGTCCAGCACCTTTCACCAGCATTAAACCCATTTGGAACAAAATTAAGGATGGAAGGGGGCGGGGAAGCCTTTGGACTTTGCGTGGTTAACTGTCTGAACCAATCTCTCTGCCTTTGTAGCCGGACTGCATTTATTTAGTATAGTACCATAGACCGTACAAGCTAAAGATTCATATGGCACATTGATCAAATAATCAGGAAAAAGGACAAATGGGCAGAGACATTGACTCTGATTTGCATTAAATATCTTCTGCCTGAGGTCTAAATGCCATGGTAATTGTAGCATACCAGATAGCTGTCAACTAATCTCTTTATTAGTTTGAATTTAGAAAACTGGATCTCAGCATATTAAAAGTTGGTTAAGAGCAGATAGGTTTTGAACTGAGGCATCCAATTAACCTTGCTGGAAAGCTTCAAGGCGTTATATTAAGTCATGAAAATGATTTGTCCAAATAATTACATTCGAACTGTCATGCTGGAGAAAGGTCATCTTACTTGGTCCGTCAGCGCTCAGGGTCTTCTCTTTAACAGCTCTCCTCCTGCCAGTCAGTTTCGCTTTTCAAGTCTCTGGTTTCAATCAAGTCATTTGGTTTCCGGATGCTATGTCGCCACAGCTGATGTTCCGAGAAAAGGAAGGGGAGTAGGGATCAGTAAAGTTCTGTCTGCTCTTCGCTCTGGAAGTATTGGCTAGACCCCCTACAAGGCTAGAGGATGAGTTCAGAGGCAGGGCAGCCTGCAGTTCCATCGGCTCTGTTTTCACCGGTACACATCGGCGTCGCTTCGCTTGATGGAAATTACTGTGGACGATTTCACACACAAGGGAATAGCTTTAGCCAATAAACATTTTAAAAGAAATCACCCAAGCACATACAATTGAAGGCAAGGGATAGTTCACATGCATTCCTTGAGAGGCAAGGAGGAGGAACAGCAACCGTTAGACAGGAGAAGCAAGATAACGATTTGTCATCTATCGTATATCTCGGGCTCCTATCACCTTGTGATATAGTCAAGGAGATACCCTCAGGGTTCTAGTTGACTATAGTTATATCATCGTCCTGAGCAATAAAGACCAAATTCTCATACGGAAATTGTCATGATATAAACGCAATTACGCATACATGATGTTGGATAGTCTTCTATCTTCCGTATTATTCATTATTATTATTTATTGTCTGTATTACCGTAGTGCCTAGGAGCTCTAGTCATGGACACAGAACAAAAACACAGTTCCTCATACGGCCCCATTACCATAGTATCTGAGTGTCTCACAATCTCAAATGTCTATGTTCTCTCAACGCCACTGTGAGGAAAGGCAGTGCCTTTTTCCCCATCCGTACAATGTGGGGTCTGCGGCACAGAGAGGCTAAATGACTTTCCCAAGGTTACACTGGAAGTCTGTGGCAGAGCAGGGACTTAAACCCGGGTGCTCCAAGTCCTACGCTGATGTCCTAATCATTCGTTCAGCTAATAGTCTCTAATAATAAATTACCTTTTATTATATTCCTTTACACTAAGAAGGATCTCCAACTATTGTATAGACTGTTCATGTAGAGATCCTTTCACTCGTTTACCTCTGAAATGTTGCCCTCCCTTCGGTGGCGTTTGGTATAGTCCTGCAAGTGGCTGGTTTGATTTGGTGAGGGGTAAACTCCTCATGTTGAAGCTATTGGGGAGATTGCAGCTAAGGCTACACTTGCGAGTTAGAGCTCATTAAAGCAGCCCCGTCCACCCTGGCAATGCACGTAGAGCGCTCTGAGTCCACGGCTAGAGCGCTCCTGGAACTCCACCTCGGCGAGTGGAATAACGTTTGCTGCGCCCCCACTGGAGCGCCGCAGCGCCACTGTGGACGCCCTGGTCTGTTAATGCGCTCTGATCGGCCTCCAGAAGTATCCCACAATGCCTGTGCTAGCCACTCTGGTCATCACTTTGAACTCTACTGCCCTGCCCTCAGGTGACCAACCGTCACACCCACCCTTTAAATTCTCTGAAAATTTTGAAAATCCCCTTCCTGTTTGCTCAGCGAGTCTTTCCAGGTGACCATGCCTCCATGCACCAGGCGATCCCCAGCATGGAACAATGGTGAGGTGCTGGACGTCATCAGTATTTGGGGAGAGGAGGCTGTCTAGTCCCAGCTGCACTCCAGCCGTAGGAATTACAATACCTACAGGCAGATATCTAGGGACATGATGGAAAGGTGCCATGACCGGGACACACTGCAATGCAGGGTTAAAGTGAAGGAGCTCGGGAATGCTTACCGCAAAGCCCGCAAGGCAAACTGCTGCTCCTATGCTGCCCCTACACCCTACTGGTTCTACAAAGAGCTGGACATGATACTTGGGGGCGACCCCACCTCCACTCCGAGTACCACATGGACACTTCAGAGCCCAGCTCAACAAGGCAGGAGGAGGAGGAAAGCAGGAGCGAGGGTACTGAGGAGGAGGAAGACACTTGCATGCAGCCAGGAGCTGTTCTCAAGCCAGGAGGAAGGTAGCCAGTCGCGGCAGCCAGTGCTTGGGGAAGGACAAACACCAGAGGAGGTGCCCGGTAAGCGGCTTTTATTTTGGGAAGGAAGTTATTCGGTGCGGGCTCTTGGGGCGAGGAGGGTTAGGGCTGCATGCATGCCTAGATACGGGATAGGGAGTTGATGTGCTTTCTCACATCGCGGTAATTGGCCTCAGTGATCTCTTCAAAGGCCTCATCCAGAACTTGGGCAATGCACTTGCGCAGGTTTCTTGGGAGAGCCGCTGTGGTCCTTGTCCCAGTCAGGCTAACATGTCCGCACCACTGTACCACGAGGGCCGGGGGGACCATTGCTGCACACAGGCAAGCTGCATATGGGCCAGGGCGGAAGCCACATTGCAGTAGAAGACCCTCCCTTGCTTCCCAGGTCACCCTCAGCAGTGAGATATCTTCCAGGACAAACTCCTGTGGAAAATGTGGGGACAGTGTTCAGTATAGGGGCCCCCTGCAGCTGTTGGCTCTCCCCAAGGCACAGAAACCCAGAGGACTGTACGGCCGTGAAACAATCAGTCCCCCTTGACCCTGTGCTTACTCACCATTTTGGGGCTCCCGTGGGTTATGTCTGCTCACTTTGCAATGGGCAAATTATGCTATTGTGTAGACTGTGCTTGCTCTTAAGTACAGGGGAATCATTGCTCTGTCTGGTGTGAACAATGCTGCCTCTGTTAAGTGTTGCATTTTGCCTTTACAGATGCAACCTTGAGATCTCAGCCGTCCGTGTTATCACCGGCCGAAAGACTCCAAAGAATTAGGAAGAGGCCACGTAGCAGCAAAGACGACATGCTGCATGAAGTAATGCACCAGTCCTTTAACGAGACTCTAAAAGCGCAGGAGTGGAGGGAGAGTGAAAGGAGGATCCGCCAGCGGAATGCGGATCGCTGGCACAAAAGCGCGGAGCTCCGGCA